GGAGGAGGAGGAGGAGGAGGAGGAGGAGGCGGCGGCGGCAGGCGCATCAGAGGGGTGTCGACGGCATCCTCGAAATCGGCCACGGGCAGAAGGCACGGGGACTGGCCGACCATTGCGTCGTCAACCTCCCTTCTAGCGGGCGCCGTGGTTCTAACCTCGAGAGGAAAAGGACCACGCGTGGCCGAGTGGCACGGGGCTCCCACCCCACCCGCCCCCCTACCACGGCTGGCACCCACGTTTTGAAGGCAGGGTTGGGCCGTAGGGTGCAGGGCCCACGGGGGCGGGGGACACAAAAACTTAAAGACGAAACCACAAGAACCCCAGGCAGCGCAGGAGAGGGGGGGACAGGGGAGGAGGGGAACCAGCCAGCAAGCCAAGCCAGCACGCAAGGAGGGGCAAGCGAGGAGCCAGCGAAGCAAGGGAGCAGCGGAAGGGGCGCGGCAGAACGCAAGCGGGCAGAGGAGGAGGAGGAGGAGGAGGAGGAGGAGGAGGAGGAGGAGGAGGAGGAGGAGGAGGAGGAGGAGGAGGAGGAGGAGGTGGAGGAGGAGGGGAGGCTGGAGGTGGAGGAGGAGGAGGATGGAGCAGGAGGGGGTTGGGGGTAGGGGGAGGGGGAGGGGGAGGGGGAGGGGGATGGGGGAGGGGGGGAGGGGGGCGAGGGGGGAGGGGGAGGGGGAAGGGGGACGGGGGCAGGAGGAGGAGGAGGGGAGGAGGAGGAGGAGGAGGGAGGAGGAGGATGGCGGAGGCGGAGGCGGAGGCGGAGGAGGAGAGAGGAGAAGGAGGAAGAGGAAGCGGAGGAGGAGGAGGAGGAGGCGGAGGAGGGGGAGAAGCGAGGAGGGGGAGGGGAGGAGAAGGAGGAGGAGGAGAACAAGGAGGACAAGGAGGACAAGGAGGACAAGGAGGAGGAGGAGGAGAAGGAGGAGCAGCAGGAGGAGGAGGGGAGGGGGGAGGGGGAGGAGGAGGAGGAGGAGGAGGAGGAGGAGGAGGAGGAGGAGGAGGAGGAGGAAGAGGAGGAGGAGGAGGCGGAGCCGAACCGCGAAGCGCGAGGCGCGAATACCTGTGCGCCCTCGATGGCGCCCTGGACCGGTCGCTGAGGCAGAGGGCCTGGGCACGCTCGAGCGGTCGCCCTTCGTCGGCGACCGAAGAGCACGGGCTTCGACCGACGTCTGTCGCTCTCCCTGTGCCTCGGGCGCCCCCCCGAGACCTCCGCGCACCGTCCAGGGGCTCGCCCCGGCGGCCCCGCTCGGCCCCTCCCTGCCGCAGGACACTGCGCACGAGGGGCCGTCCGATGTACGACAAAAGCCCAACGACAGCCAACCCGTGTAGCAAGGGACGCACGGCAAGGACGCACGTGTAGCAACCCATATTATGCTTTGACTGCTTTTGAATAGTCCTCCTGTAGAGGGACATGCCCGACTGAACCCTGGCCCCCCCGAGGCAGCGCGGCATCGGGCTGATTTCAGTCGGCCCGTGTCATGAGGATGCGCGATAAGGATACAAGGGCCTTGGAAGGCCATATCGGCACTCTGCGAGCGGGGCACGGCCAGCGAAGGCGGCCAAGGATGGGCCGAACGGGAAGGATGCAGGGGCAACCTTGGAGAGCCGCTCCTCCTTACTATGCGGGTTGACCGTGGCGGCTCGAGCTCTGGGCAAGACCTCCAGGACCTAGACTGAGCACCTTGTTGCCGCCTGCTGCCATCCAGCCTCGCCCACAGCTTTCGCGCCTGGTCGGGCAACTGGCGAGTTGCCCCCTTTTATCTGCCCCTCCCCCCCGTGCCGCCTCATCCCCTGCCAACCCACCCACCCCCTGCGGTCCTTGACCCCGTCCTCCCGCTTCTCTCCTTGCCTCTTCCTGCCCCCAGCTCCCAGCTTCTGGGTCCCTTATCCCGCCTCCCTGCACCCTCCCTCGTCCCTCCCTCCGTCCATCCCTGCCTCCCACCTCACTCCCCGACTCCCCTTCCCAGTGCAGCCATCTTACTCTTGCCCAGGACGGGTGGATGAATAGGACGAGGAAGGGAGGGAGAAGAGAGGGAGCGAAGGGGGATGAACGACGAGGGAGACTGTTGCTGCAGCCCGGCCACCATCTACTAGCGGCGTCGACATCCCCAATCCCAGAAAAATTGAATAATGAGCGGGAGGAGACGGTGAGGAGGAGAAGGAAGCATGAATGGACAGGAATCCCAACAGCCCGCTGTCTCCTCCTCCTCCTCCTTCTCCTCCTCCTCCTCCTCCTCCTCCTCCTCGTCCTCTTCCTCCTTCTCCGCAGAATCCTCCTCCCATCGAGCTCTTCCCCAGCAACGTGGAACCCCAGAGGGTTCGACCACTTCGCCAGGATTGACGGCCGTGAAGCCTGGTGAAGGACCCCAGCAGCCGAAAACAACTATAGAGTTCCCCGCCTTGATCTATTCGCAACGACATCTAGAGGAGGGTATGATTGCATCGGTATCAGCACTATAGCATCATCATCGTCAGCAGCAGCATCATCATCATCATCAGCAGCAACAGCAGCAGCATAATCATCATCATCATCATCACCACCATCATCATCATCATCATCATCATCATCATCATCATCATCAGCATCAGCATCAGCATCAGCAGCAGCAGCATCATCATCTGCATCATCATCATCATCAGCATCATCATCATCGTCATCATCATCATCAGCATCATCATCATCATCATCAGCATCATCATCATACTCATCATCATCATAATCATCATCAACATCATCATCATCATCAGCATCATCATCATCATCATCAGCATCATCATCATCATCACCATCAGCATCATCAGCATCATCACCATCAATAGCAGCAGCGTCAGCAGCAGTAGCATCATCGTCGTCGTGATCATCGTTAGCATAATCAGAATCACCATCAGTATCATCAGCATAATCATCAGCATCATCAGCATCATCATCAGCAGCAGCATCATCACCATCATCATCCTCATCCTCATCATCATCAGCAGCATCATAATCATCATCATCAGCATCATCATCATCAGCATCAGCAGCATCATCATCGTTATCGTCATCGTCATCGCCATCGTCATCATCACCACCAGCAGCATCATCATCGGCATCGCCATCGTCATCGTCCACGCTATCGTCCTCAGCAGCAGCATCAGCATCATCATCAAGCATCTTTAGAATCATCACCATCGTCAGCATAATCATCAGCAGCATCATCATACTCGTCAGCCTCATCATTTTCATCCAACAACAGCATCAGCATCATCAGCATCGTCCTTAGTAGCATCATCACCATCAGCATCATCAGCATCCGCCTCCTCATCATCTGCATCATCATCGTCGTCATCATCAGCATCATAGTCGTCATCACCATCATCATCACCATCAGCAGCAGCATCCTCATCATCAGCATCAGCATCAGCATTATCATTATCAATATCATCATCAGTATCCTCCTCGTCCTCCTCCTCCACCTCCTGCCCCTCCCCCTATCGTCCTGCTCCTGCTCCTGCTTCTGCTACTCCTCCTCCTCATCATCCTCTTCCTCTTCCTCCTCCTCCACCTCCTCCTTCTCCTCCTCCTCCTTCTCCCCTCCGTTATACGTGTCAGCGTACGCTTGGCCATGTGGTGCCAAGACAACTTGACAAGGAGCGCACTCGCCTTCAGATATGTGGTGTGGGCGCAGGGTTATCGGAACTCATGGGCAATGATTATTGTTCGACGGTGGTTCTGCAGTCCACAGTGCGGTGTAGAGTTCGAGAAGTACATCATGTACAATTTCCATTAAGATTCCGAGCATACTTGGCCCTGACAGGGTTCCCCGAAGAGCCCGACGAGCCCTCCTCTCCTTCTCCTCTCCTCCTCCTCCCCCCTCCTCCTATCCTCCTGCTTCTCCTCCTCATCCTCCTTTTCCTTCTTTCGTCTCCGTCCCAGCTCACATCCTAACTAGGACAGCCGCTTGAACGTCTAAAGTGTGACCCAGAATCGCTCGAACGAGACAGCAAAATCCTCGAACGCCATCAGATCCGCTTTGAATGAGGATATCGGCTCTGTGATAGAGAGCCCTTTCTCGTAGAGAGCCAAGAATTAAATCGGTGATCCAAGATTTGCTCTTGTGCGTGCTGGCAAAGCCCACACAGCTGAACATGCTCCAGCTCGCGTGCCCCCATCGCAATGCGTGACGAAGTTGCCTCTGTCAGATCGTTGTTAGGATCGACCGGAGAAGCCACCTCTTCCCAAGAATATTGGTCACGTTGATGAGGTGGTCGGCGATAAGACTCGAGTCGCGGCCGTGCCACAAGACTGGGTCCCGATGTGACTGCACAGATAGCATTCTCCCGGAAATGAGATTAGCCAAGCTCCGCGCCAGCCGTCTGAGACCGGGCTGCAAAGAGGTATCGGTAAGCGGAAGACGCCCATAGCCACCTCCACCAAAAGTTTGCAATCGCATACAATGATGAATCTGCGACGTGAGCTCTTCCATGCACGGTGTTCAACCACAACGTCGCCGTTCGTATGGCCATCTGGACTCTCTGCATCGCGTGGAAGATGATTTGTGCGTTTCATATTCCCGCGTCCTCAAGAACACAAGGTTCCACCGCCGCTCCTGGTCCTGGGCTGGCCAACACGTACTTATCGCAAGCATCTGCCGCGATCTGCCCGAACTGCTAGCGGGCGTTGGCGGAACTGGGCTTAGTGGGACCTGGTCGAATGATGTGTACCAAAGCACGCCCACCCAGCCCCATTCCACTAACTGGAACTGCCAGCACCCGAAGAAACACCAGCCACGGCAGACTTGATGTAGGGATTCTGCTTCATCAGCAGGGCTCCGAAGCCTAATCACCAACTGGCGCGCCCATTACCCGGGGTCATGGCTGTGCTCTGCGTCTCGCAACAGCGTGGGGGGAGGGGTAGCCCCCCGACGGGGCTGTCCGCGCCAATGGGCCAGGGGTCTGGATTTTGCGGCGGGTGGCGTGGGCCGACTGGGGTCGACGTCGCGCGGCAATGTTCGCCAGCGACGGGGTGACGCCCCTCCCACGCTCATTACCAAACGAAGAGTATGCGATGTTCCTACTCCTCCCCGCCCTTCCTCCTCTTGCTCCGCCCTCTTTCGACGCCCAAAATGGATACGGAACAAATGAGTACGATGCCCAACAACGTGTTGACCAAAACTACCAGCGGCCGCTGTTGGGCAGGCGAAGTTCTGTCTCAAATGGACAACGCCCGCGGCGGCGCCGACAGCGACTTCTGTTCAAAATTGATGTTGTCCCATCCTACAAGGACCACATCACATACATATTTTCGAACACCCAGAAATGTATCGAAAAAAGTGTGCAGTGTCTGCCCAACACGCTAGCGAAGTGTCGAACAAATATCGCCTCCCAGGGCCCGACACATGAAAAACCTTCAATTCCGCTACTTTCTTGGCGCTCGAAATTCTCTGGTGATCAGAGCCATCATTGGGCAGAACATCACAAGTCGAAACGAAAGCGAGCTGCTGCCAGTCTGCGTGCCTATTCTTTCCGTACCCATTGCCAAGCTACAAACCCTGGGACCTTCCCCCGAGCTCAGCGCTTCATCCTGAGCGGTTTCTTGACAGCCCCGGGGCCCGTGGAGGGCCCCAAGAGCCCGAGAACGGCGACAAACCTCAGGACCCGTTTCCCCCACGGCGATGTCCAAACTGAACATGAGCTGCTGCCGAATCGCGTGCCCATCCCTCCCGCACCCATTTCGATCCTACCGACCCTCGGCCGCGGCACCGCAGCGCGCGGTCCTTTCCCGGGCCTGCCCAGCGCCGCCGCCCCGGCGGCCGCGCCTGCGGCCGCCGCGCCGCCCGCCTTGGCGCCGCCGGCGCCAGCGGCCCCCGCCGCGACGGCCTTGGCGCCGGCCGCGCCCGCGACGGCCTTGGCGCCGCCTGCCGCCGCCGCGGCCTCGACGGGTTGGGGCTCGTGCTCGGGGTCGCCGTCGGCGTCCGGGTCGCCCCCAAACATCCGACGGCGTGCTTGTCTTCAACCGGCACTGTTCCCCCGATCTCGGCCCCCGGGGGCCCGACACCGGGTTTCTGGGGCCATCAAGCACGGGCATCCGGGGCGGAGGGCCTGCACCAGGGGAGCGGTCGGGAGCCCGCGGCGGCGCGGATTGAAAGAACTGGGTCGGCGGATGTCTGGGCTTGTGGCCGGCGTCGCCGTCCTCGTCCTCATTCTCGTCCTCGTCCTCGTCCTCGTCTTCGTCCTCTCCTGATGGTCCTCCTCGTCGTCCTCGTCCTCTCCTCGTCGTCCTTTTCGTCGTCGTCGTGGCCTGCCACGCGTCCATCCTCACTTTCTTCCTCTGCCCATGCGTCGGCGCTCGCCTTCACTTGCGACGTCTTTGCTTCCGCGTCTCTCTGTTTCGACTCGGTCTCTCATACCTTCTGGCGACTATACGACCTCGCCCGCGCCCACCGCGGCGCCTCCTCATCACCACCCGCCTCGCGCCCCCAGACGCGAGCCAACAGCGCCATCGCTTCTGCGCGTCGACGGGTTTCCGCCACAGGTGCGTTCGTCTCCCTGGCTTCGCCTTCCACGCAGGTGCCTCCCACGCGCGCGCGGCGTTGTGCGATTTCGTCGGCGCCGTCGACATCCACTTTCTCTTCGCTGTTTTTTCCCAACCATCCTGTGGTGTTGGGTCCTCGTTTTGAAACGGTCCCCGCGTTCTTCTCCTCTTCTCCTCCTCCTCCCCCTCCCTCCTCCCCCTCAGCCTTTGCTCCCTGCGTTTCACCCACCCAGCACACCGTTTCGTGGCCCCATAGGGGGCTCCACCGAAGGTCCCAGTGGCACCGCCCGCAAGCGTCCGCCACCACCCAGCACAGCCCTTGTTCCCTGCGTTTCACCCACCCAGTACAGCGCTTCGTGGCCCCATGGACAGCTCCACCGAAGGTCCCAATGGCACCGCCCGCATGCGTCCGCCACCACCCAGCACAGCCCTTGCTCCCTTCGTTTCACCCACCCAGTGCAGCGCTTCGTGGCCCCATAGGGAGCTCCACCGAAGGTCCTAGCAGCACCGCTCGCATGCGTCCGCCACCACCCAGCACAGCCCTTGCTCCCTGCGTTTCACCCACCCAGTACAGCGCTTCGTGGCCCCAAAGCTGGCTCCACCGAAGGTCCCAGTGGCACCGCCACCACCCAGCACAGCCCTTGCTCCCTGCGTTTCACCCACCCAGTACAGCGCTTCGTGGCCCCATAGGGAGCTCCACCGAAGGTCCCAGTGGCACCGCCCGCATGCGTCCGCCACCACCCAATACAGCCATTGCTCCCCCCGCTTCACCCACCCAGTACAACGCTTCGTGGCCCCATAGGGAGCTCCACCGAAGGTCCTAGCAGCACCGCTCGCATGCGTCCGCCACCACCCAGCACAGCCCTTGCTCCCTGCGTTTCACCCACCCAATACAGCGCTTCGTGGCCCCATGGAGAGCTCCACCGAAGCTCCCAGTGGCACCGCCCGCATGCGTCCGCCACCACCCAGCACAGCCATTGCTCCCTTCGTTT